ATTAAAATAACTTTTAACTATAATTATAATATAATACAACCACAACTAAATACATACTTCACAACAATCTCAAAACGGACCCTTAATCAGCAAGCAGCACTGCATCAGCTAATTCCTATCAATCCAACCAAAAATGCTCAAGCAAAATGATCTTAATTACCTTGTCAAGTTCGTTCCTCAAGACCAAAACCAAACCAATATTCAAGTGAAGTAGTTGATCTTTCACCCATCAAAACTACGTCCTTTGAAAAAGTGCTTCACCTACCCCCATCGGTCATCACTATTATTCCAAAAACAGTTGCATGCATTCATTATTCCATTGAAAAAGCCTATTGTTTCTATTCTTATGTCGAATATTATTTGACTTATAAAAAAGACTAAAAAATAATTTATAACATATTTTTTAATATTTTATTTAGTTTAATTATTAAAATATAATATAATTTAATTAATTTTTATATTTTATATAATTTTATTTTTAATTTTATAATAAATAATAATAATTTTTTAATAAATATATTATGTATTATATTGAATTAAAACATATATTAATTAACATTTTAAAAAATATTATTTAATTTAAATTATATTAAATTATATAATTTAAAGTACTAAATCATACAAAATTTTTAATACCAAAAATTATTTTTTCTATTAAACAGTTTATATCTTATAGTCAATCGTCCGGGCAAAATGATAAAACTATTATTCTATTTAATAAATTCCAGCAATGACTTAGTCTCCGCTCTCTTTTTCAAGGTCCATTACCTGCCAGTTTCACGTTCAAACCTAAATCGAATACCTCATAATATAATAAACCCTTGATCAATCAACTTAATTATAAATTAAAGCTACCAACCCCTTGATCAATCAACTTAATTATAAATTAAAGCTACCAACCCCTTGATCAATCAACTTAATTATAAATTAAAGTTACCAATGAAACTGTTAATCTAAATAGAAAAAATTTGATTTCTCTTAAATAAAATATCGAATGTAAATTTTATAAATAAAAAAATAAATATTAAAAAAAATTTTCTTAATAAAATTTAATCCGATTCGATTCTGCATTAGTCAACATTTAATATAATTATCGAATAACAAAAAATTAATATAAAAAAATCATAAATTAAGGCTTTTGATGATATCATACTAAACCTTAATCAATCAAAACTAATCATAATTTAATAGGATAAACAAAGCAAGGACATCTTACTTTCCTCCTTCGTCTCGCCCATTTTCTGCTTCTGCTTCAGGTCAAGCGAACCCCATCTGCTAATTTTCCCGAGAAAGTGGTTTTCCTGGGAAAATTGCGCCATGGACAGGCTTGTGAAAGCAGATGTGAAGGAATTAGAGCTGGATTTCAAGAGAGGCCAAAACTGCACAAAAACTTTCCGTTTGAGCAACCTAATGCATACCATGTCGGTGGCGGTGTCTTTAACCAGCACAAACCCGTCTCTGTTTTCTTTCAATCAAGCTTTTTCTATAATTCCTGCGCTGTCGTCGGCGTCGTATACTGTTATCCTTTCTGAGCCGTCTGATCGGCCTCCTCTAACCACCCCTCCGGATGTCATCACCGTCAAATCGTCCGTTCTCCCCACCGGTAAAGCCAGTCAGGATGATCTCCGCCTTTTGTTTTCCAAGCCGGGTCGATACATATTCAGGGACGCTTCTATCACCCTCTCCTTCGTGGGTCCTCATGTCGTTGAACATCTCATCTCTCACAATACCCAGATCAGAGAAATTGACTCGTTCTTGAACAAAGCGGTTTCCGGATGTAATGGATCTCAGCTAACAGCGCTGATGAAAAAGGCGGTCGTTTCGGGTAAATTGAATTTGGTTGGTGCGTTGATTGATCACGGCGGCGATGTGAATGTGAGGGATTCCGACGGTCGGTCGATGATCTCCGTCGCAGTCCAAGCAGGCAATATTGATGTTGTAAAAACGTTGATTGCATCTAGGTGTTCGATTGATAATTCAATCGACCAAGTATTGCATCTCGCGGCGGCGATAAACAGAGCGGACTTGATGGTGGTCCTGTGTGCTAATTATAAGAATCTGGATGTGAATTCCGTTGATTCATCCGGTAGAACTCCGATTCATATAGCTGCGAGTTGCGGATTCAGGGGAGTAATTCGATTTTCTTTATCAATCGGAGGGAACCCCGAAATTCAAGATAACGATGGATGCACTCCCCTTCATTTGGCCGCAGAGAAAGGGCATTTGGACGCCGTCGAGTGTTTGCTGGAGGCTTCAACGTATTCCAAATACGCTCTGAACAAACAGGGGAAGACCGCTTTTGCACTCGCCATTGATAACGAGCACTCGGGTCTCTACGATCTACTGCATCTCGGTGACGTTCTAAACAGAGCAGCGAGGATCGATGACTTGAACGGAATAAAGGGTTGCTTAGCGAAAGGGGTGAAGGTGAACGGAAGGGATCAGAACGGATGGACTCCGCTGCACAGGGCGGCGTTCAAGGGGCGGATTGAAAGCGTCAAGGTTTTGCTAAGTCACGGGGCTCACGTGGATGTTGTGGACTATAATGGGTACACGCCGCTACATTGCGCTGTGGAGGCAGGGCATATGCAGGTGGCGCTGTTGTTGATTGCTCATGGAGCTAAAGCCAATGTGAAGAGTCTGAAGGCTGTTGCTCCTTCGAATTTTAATCGGTTTAAGAATCATCTTCAGGATTCATGTAATGAGAAGGAAAATGGTTTGACTTGAACTTCGCTGATTGGAGTAGTTTGAACTTTGAAGCCTATACATAGTTCCTGTTGTTCAAAAAG